TTATTGAGGCCGCTCAATTCATCATATATACATAGGTATGTATGTATGTATGTATGTATGTACATATGTACATATCGACCGCCATTTGCAATAACGACACTATTCAAAACTCAAGGGCCTCTAATCCTTTTCTGTGTTTCGGTGAAACGAACGAAAGGGGTGAATCACTCTTTGATTTTATCATCAGTACTAAGCTATCTATATGCAATAGGGGTACGACTCCTACTTTCCCCTTTCCGGGTACGGAAAACTACGAAGGGTGGTGGTGGAAAGTCCTCGATATAACATTGTTACTAGAAAACAATAATTTTTGTGTTGACAACTGGGTGGTGTCTGATGAGAGCTCTTTTTCTGACCATAAGTATATCACTTTCAGTGTCAATATTATTAAAAAAATAATCAAATCATATCGCAACCCTAGGAAAACTAACTGGATTGAATTCGATCGTCTGGCTCGGGAGAAGCTTAGTTTGGCTCCTAGCCCACTGGTGAGCTCCATCAGCGAGATTGAGGCCAATCTGAGAGTAGTCGAGACCACACATCGGAATTCAATGAACAGGGCCACCTATTCCACCTTGGTGGAATAGTGACTTATCTAGACTAAGGAAAGAAACTAGGAGAATGTTCAACTCCTGTTACAAATCTAAATCTTGGAAGCCATACCAATACATTATGAAAAAGTATAAATGTGAGATTCGGCGCTCAAAAAAAGCAGCATGGGAGAGCCACTGCGAGACATTGGAGAGCATAAAGGACACCGCCAGGCTGAGCAGGCTATTGACGAAGGACTACTCCTGTCCGTCACTCCTTCGCAGTGCAGATGATGTACCCACAGAGTCTGTGGAAGACTCACTAAGGTTGCTTGTCAACACTCATTTTCTGGGTAATTCTGACGAAGTGTTCAATCCGATTCCAAGAAGGTATGCTGGAGGTCAGCACATAGCAGACTCAATTTTCACAAATCCCAAAATAACATGGGCGTTGAAGTCCTTTTCGCCTTACAAAACCCCAGGGCCAGATGGCATCATACCTATCATGTTGAAAACTGTGGAGGATGCTATTATGTCATGGCTTTTGTCCATTTTCAAAGGATGCATAACCCTTAACTACGTCCCTCTGTCGTGGAGGCGAGTAAAAGTGGTTTTCATCCCAAAACCTGGAAGGCGAGGGCATGTCTACGCCAAAGATTTTCGACCTATTAGCTTCACTTTCTTTTTTCGAAGTTCGAGAGGGTTCTGGACGCGCATGTCCGGGAGTTTTTCCACGGCAACGGCATGTCTGAAGCGCAGCATGCATATTTGCGGAGACGGCACTCCATGAGGTGGTTAGAACAGTCGAGAGGTCACTCGAATTTAAGCAATTCACTCTGGCAGCCTTCCTCGACATAGAAGGAGCCTTTAACAATATTAGGGTAGAAGCTATCTAAAAATCCCTTGTCGAGCTAGGCGTCGAGAAGTCAATTAGTGCGTGGCTAATGGCGATGCTTCGCAGCAGAACGATTTCAGCTGAACTTGGTAGCTATACATTAACAAGAAACATTAGTAGGGGCACTCCTCAAGGGAGAGTGATCTCTCCTATTTTATGGCTTAGCACTATCAACTCAGTACTACTCAAGCTCAGGGAGGAGTAAAAGTAGTGGCCTACGCTGACGATATAGTGATTTTAATAACCGTTTTATTTCCATGGAGGGTACTCTAGCAAAGCTAAGCCGGTGGGCCGAGCAATGTGGCCTTAGAGTGAACCCAGAGAAAACCGAATTAGTGCTCTTTACGACAAGAAATAAGGTCCCAAGCTTTGAATTATCAAAGCTAAATGGACAAAGGCTGCGATTATCTAAACAAGCGAAGTATCTGGGAGTCATACTGGATCCTAAGCTAAGTTGGAAAATAAATATTGAAGAGAGAGTAAAGAAAGCGAGCATTGCCTTCTACTCCTGTAAGCGGCTTTTTGAGAAGACATGGGGTCTCAATCCAAAAGTTGTACTCTAGATGTACACAGCGGTTGTAAGTCCGATCTTATGCTACGGTTCTTTGGTATGGTGGACAGCCTTAAAGAACCAATATAATCAAGTGAAACTAGGCAGAGTTCAGAGAGCTGCAGGCATGGGGACCACAGGGGCAATGAGAAGTTGCCCTACTGATGCCCTTAATGTTATTACAAACCTATTTCCTATAGACCTTCATATACGGCACACCGCATCACTATCGGCTATAAGACTTAGAGAACTAGGTATATGGAAAGAAAGAACGATCGAACATAGCAGTATAATTTCCCCGTTTGCCACCTAAGTTGAGGCTGGCAATCGATTACATTCGACATAAGGTAGTTACACAGGCCTTTCGGGGTCATTCTTCCGTCAAGAGCCGACTGGGACGGGGAACTTGATATCTGTACCTGGACACATCATACGTAAACCGATGGCTCCAAAATGGAACGCGGAGCTAGAGCAGGTATTTACTCTGAGTCACTGGGAGTAAAAAGATCAATTCATCTGCCCGATTTCGCGAGTGTCTTCCAGGCAGAAGTATTCGTTATAGCCGAAGGCTGCCGTCTCTTAGAACGTAGTGGATTGCGTCACGGCGAGCGAGTAGCCATTTTCTCAGATAGCCAGGCGGGCATTAAGGCGATAGCGTCTTTTACAACAAGGTAGGCCGCTGTTAAATACAGTAAGCTGTCAACTCGATCTAGATTTAGTTTGGGTCCCGGAAACGAGGCTGCAGACGAGTTAGCCAGAGAGGGTTCAACATTGGTGTCGAACGAGGACCGGATCTCACCCCTAATTGGAACCTTATATAAAGACATATTTCTTCACAATCTCCGGAAATCGGATCAAAGATGGCGCACTGTGGCAGGCTGCCGTATATCCAAACTATTGTGGCCTGCGTACAGCCCTGAGAGAACACACAACCTACTAAGCAAACCCAGATCTGACGTTGCTAGGCTTGTTGCGACTCTTACTGGGCATTAGCCGATTGGTACCCACGCGAGAAGGCTGGGAATCGCCTACAACGACTTCTGTAGAGACTGCAGAGATGAGAACGAGCAGGAAACAGTAGATCACTTGCTTTGCAAATGTCCAGCTCTAATGAGGAGCAGAAATACCATGCTAGGAGCATATGAGTTCACATCGTTACGAGAGCTATCTGATATAAGTCTCCACAACATACTCAACTTCATCAACCACGCCGGCTGGTTCTAACATACTCATTCGAGGTATACTTATGGTATCAAAATGGCACCTTGCTGCTACTTGGGCGTAAAAGCTTTTCCGCGACCATTCTACCCTAACCTAA